ATTTATTGGCATAAGTTCGTTTTGGGAACCAACCGAAGTTAATAATAATACTGAGAGAACAAGATGCTTTTGGTAGTGATGGAATTAGTAAGAGTATTATCGACAGTAACTGTTACTACTATTGGCAGCCATAGCGCTACTAACAGTACCACTCCCAGGGAAGTATTAGTAGTAGTGTTGTCGGTAAAATTTTTCTGTATTGCATAAATTGTGAGCAGTTGTTGTTAGATTAAATAGACTTCTTTTTATTCCAATATTCTATGTGGAGTCTGTCAACATTCTAATGTGAATTCTGTAGCCACTGGGTAGCTACTGATAAAGTTAAAAAATTTTCAAATAACATTTTATTTTGTTCTTTAGATTAAACCGATTGAAGGCAAAGCGAAAGGCGTAACGTTTACGATCTGGGACGTAGGTGGCGAGGAGAAAATAAGGCCCCTGTGGCGCAGCTATATCCGGCACACGGACGCGATTGTGTTCGTGATTGATTCGGTCGACCAGGAACGCTTTGAGGAAGCGAAGCTGGAACTGACCAATTTGTTGCGGTGTCCAGACATCCGGTCGACGGTGCCTATCGTCGTCCTGTCCAACAAACAGGACTTGCCCGGTTCGAGGAATGAGCGCGAGGTCACCGCTTCCCTCGGCCTTACTGACGCGCATTCGTCCCACAATTTTCAGTTCATCGAATGCTGCGCTGTCACCGGCGAAGGTCTTGAGAACTTTTTCGATCTCCTCTACACTGCCATTCTCAATTGCCAAAAACAGCAAAAAACCAAACGAAGAAATAAGCGGTGAACAAACGAACCTGCACATCAATGACCGTCCTTACGGCGCGGTATTTCTATGGCGCATTTCGTCACAGGCAGTGATACGGATGCAAACGAGACAGAGTCACATCGACCGCCTCCTGATCGAACGTACTGGTCGCTGGACTTTTCCTTACCCGAGTGGTTGCTTGTCGCTGTGCAGATATACTGTTATTATTATTATTACTTTTGCTATTTCCCGGGGGTGGTACGACCTCTGTTCGTAGTTCATTTCCGTATTGATCCTAAAGCTTGCGTGAACGACTCATTTCAGACTGAATCGAATCGGCATGAAATGATTTATTAACTTGAGTGTTTAATTAATAAAAGCGATACAAATATATTAATTGTTGGCATGCTACTTGACGTCGCCCCATTTTTCTACCTTTGTTGGTAGCAGATTGCCGTAAAGGTCAAGATAAATGGACTTGTCTACGTCGTACACAGATCCGCCAAGTGGAGGATTCAACTCGTCACGTTTTACCACGTCCTGAATCAGCTCGAATTCCTCGTCCATGTGAGGAAATACCTCGATCATTGGTATTTCCTTCGGTTCCGGTTTTCCTTCATCTTTTAGACGTTTCTAAAAAATAAACTTTCGAATAAAAAAAACTAAATAACGAAAAAGACCCTTACGAAGATATATATATCTTACGAAGCTTTTGAAAAAGCTTTAAATATTGCTCCACGATGCACATCCTAGGAATAACAGGCAAGAATATGTAAAAAAGAACTTATCTAATACGTTAAGTTGAAATTAAGATTGTTGTTCGGGATTGTTAAGTCGATAAAGCGTCGGAGTTGGAATCGAGAAGTTCGAGATTTGGTCTGTTCATTAGTGTTCCTTCCATCTGAGGATGGGAATGAGTACCACTTTGTGGGGAGAATTGACTCTCTCTCTTACCAGTGAGAGACTACATGCTACACTTGTCATAAGGCTGTAGACTTTGCCTTTAAGGCACCTCTGGTTGATGACACCAACAGATAAAGATCAAAAGCTTGATGAACTGAGGAGCGTTGTAAATAACCTCCATTCACGAAAATGTAAGGGAAACGGGCATCCCAAACTGAAAAACAATGAAGGCCTTCAAGGCTTTGCCATAAATTTCTGTGATCAGCAATTTGATCTATCGGCCTTCTTCAGCTCAACTTGCTATCGATTTCTAGGTCTCACTATGGGTATAAGTGGTTCTTTTTTTGTATTTCTACTTACTTCTTTTTCTCTTATTTCTACTATTTCATCAGTCTTTTTATTCACTGTGTCATAAAGGCCTCTCCAAGGTGTTTTCTGTGAGACTTTTATCTGCTCGCTGGAGTTCTTGAATCGCGGTAAGTCGTTGTCCGGAAGAGCAGTGTTCTTTTTTCAACAGAACTACGATAAACCATCTCGTTGGAGGCTAGGGATAACCTGGTTGAACCTCACAAAAGAGGAACTGCAACATTCAGACGTAAAAACCTTACTCTGGTACCGACTTCGCTATGGCAGTAGTTCCTTATATTGGGACATTTAACGTAAATCAAGTACGGAGGAAAATGAAAACGCAGTATGCCAACAACTGACGAAGCGGATTCATCAGTTACGCACGTGATGTCATTAAACGTCGATATTTCGAAACTTCAAACAGATAAATGAGCTTCTTTGCGTCGCATGAATTTTCATCGCCTGTCTATCGCTTTCCGTACGAATTTCTGCCAAGCAAATTTTTTGCATTTTAATTCCTTGATCTGTTTGGACTCTAGATATGACCCCTTGATAGCAAGGTTCTTCCAGATATAGATCAAGATAGCTATGAAATTTCATCTAGTACTAATCTTTCGTGATGAGAATCCTGAATTATCTCGGTAGCATATAAAAATGTACGAAACCTAACTATTCAGGATTTTGCATTTCCTTTACCTGGTCTAAAGGCAATTGAGATTTCATATCAGTCACCACGAAAGACTCAGTGATAAATTAAAGATACTTCGTAAGCTGACTATTCCCTTCGTCTTCTTCACTATGAGGGTAATAATTAAGATGATTTACCGTATGACTTCAGAACTATAATAGAAAAAGTCTGAAGATCCTGAAACCTGCAATACTTTGAATCATGTGCATAGCATTATGTAGATTTTGCCAGTAAGATTCAGTGCAAATATTATACGTCGATATACCTTAAAGATTTGTTATCAGTTTAAGACAAGATAGACATTGGTCAGTAATATTACGGAAGATGAGAAGCGGTTCGTTGATAATCTGACCGCACGTTTTTATTTACTTTTAAACAACTTATTGAATAGGATGTATTAGTGCGTATCACCGATGTAAAGCGGACGCAGCTTGGAAAAAGCCTGTACTTCCCAGCTATTTTTTCTTGAATATCTAAACTGTACCTAGTAAACTAGCACTGTCTTCGACGCATCATGAGGGTTAAATAACAGGACCACGTAAAGAATGACTGCATTGTGTTCCGGGAGGTGATGACCTCAGATGTGGAGATGCAAAACAGAGACTGAATTTATTAGACAAACTGATTAAGCATACATTTACTCCTGCCCTTGAGCTTCTCGAGTGGGAGTAAGAACAGCCGACCTCAGCGAGGAGGTCAGCGTGTAACATGGAAGAACAATGTAACGGCAGATCTGCTTTCGGAAAGGAATATTACTTGCTGCATTATAGCAAGTGCTGAAAAACAGAATACAATGGATATCACAAACCAAAGACGTTTTGCATATGCAGTTGATGACCACAACATACAACCTGTATTTAAATATGCAGATTTTGACATCATCTTGTCACTACTGGTTTTACAACGTAGAGTCAGGAAAAGGTCTGGACTGGGCTGAAAGTTCTCTACAGTTAAGGTAGTGACATGCTCTTTATGACATCTCTTACATAGGTACTGAGTGCTGAATGTTTCTAAAACTGAATCATTAATGGTATGAAACTAAGTTACATCTTAGAATAATACAGAAACGGTCTAAATTCATAAGCCATAAGTTTCTTCTACAAAGAAAAACACAATGAGATTGAAAGAGTACCTTAAGCATAAATTGTTCCAACGGGGGTAGTGGAATATGAGCGGGTAATAACCGATACTTGAACGGATGGTCGCACTTTCTCAACGCCTCTTCTTCGTGCTTGTGAATAAGTCTCCAGTCAGAACGGTTGAAATCTTTCACGAACTCCACTAAGCCGATGAACCTTCCGCGGTAAACGAAATCACCCCACATCTTCCCTCGGCACAGCCACTGTAATTTAAAGATTAAATCACATGAAACTTGAACATCGTTACGCTATGCTGTACCCTGTCCATTTCCGGCTCCACTTTGCGTATCACGCAGTAACTCGGCTGCGTAGGCCATCGTCGCAACCATTCGTTTTTCACCACCATTCGACCAACACCGAAATTCTTCAGTTGTGCCAAGATCTATCAAGTACATACATGCAAAACTGGGTAATATCTGAGAATATATCACTAATGTACAGAATGTCCTCCGCCACAAATTCCTTCTCATTGAACCAGCAGCCGAGAGGTAGTTCTGGCCAAAACAACAACAAACTGCATACAACGAGAAATAGATGCAGTTTATACTCTTCATTAGCCAAGACAGCCGTGAAAGTCTGTGATGAATCCTAGTGGTAGGTTAGCGAGGAAATAGAATCCAGGATTGCAAAACCTCAGTATGATTTCACGACAGCTCTGTTGTAGACAAGTTCAACTTACTATAATCCTGATGGCCAAAACTAGGGGGTTACAGTCCGTAAAAAATTTCGTTAAATTTTTAACCTGAAACTTTGTCCCTCAGAAAAAAGGAGTCTTTGACAACAAATCCAGATAGTTTGCTGAAATATTATTGGGTGAATGATACAAACAAATATAGAACAAGTACCCGACGCAACTTCGACAGTTTGATTTCAAATTGGCAAACTGTTTCATCATAAACAATGTGTCAGAAGAGAGCTTTTGGTTTATGCCTTGGCGGTCATACTGAAGACAGCGCGAAACTTGGTTAATTCATTCCCAACGCAAAAAATTTGTTCAATCGGATGATTTTTTATTAGAAGAGAGGCGTGTAGCTGTTAACTTACTAAGTTCTGAATACAAATATGAAGGAATTCAGAAGCGAACACACCCCTCTACAGTGAAGTAGACAAATGTGACAGACCTAAACGTCGGTACTGGT